ATGTATATATATATATATATATATATATATATATATATATATATATACACATACACACACACAGAGAGAGATACAATCAGTCCGGTTTTGAATGAATGACCTTTTTAGTCAAAGAGCTTGCAATCATCACAAACATCCGGTTTGATGTATATATATATATATATATATATATATATATATATATATATATACACATACACACACACAGAGAGAGATACAATCAGTCCGGTTTTGAATGAATGACCTTTTTAGTCAAAGAGCTTGCAATCATCACAAACATCCGGTTTATATATATATATATATATATACACATACACACACACAGAGAGAGATACAATCAGTCCGGTTTTGAATGAATGACCTTTTTAGTCAAAGAGCTTGCAATCATCACAAACATCCGGTTTGTTGTCATGTCAGATGTTATAATCAGTCCTCTCTCTGGATGATAAATGTCGAGCCTTCCCTTTTGAATGAGAATTGTCCGACACTCAGCATATTATTTCTCAATTTAGGCACATAACAAACTTCACTGATAACATGAGTAAAGCTTTCTACTTTCAATCTCACATTACCTCTGGCTGTCACTTCCATTCTTGAGTTATTGCCCAGCTTCACTCCGTGTTTGAAACTTTCATCGAGATCACATAACATACTCTTGTCACCGCTCATATGATTGTTGCATCCCGAGTCTAAGAACCAAATATCTTCTCTTCGAGCTCCGTTCTCTTCTTCATAAGCCATGAGCAACATCTCTTCTTCTTCTTCTCCCATCTCGGCATAATTGGCTTCTTTATCCCAACTTGGACACTCAAACTGAAAGTGTCCAAGTTTGTGACACTTGTAACACTCTACAATAGCCTTATTGTACATCTGCCTAGCTCTTCCTCTTCCTCTACCCCTATAAGCACCTCGACCTCGTCCTCTTTCACCTCCGTCTCCTCTTTCTTCTGTTGCAACTTTCAATACGTGATCTTCACTGCTGGTTCTTCTAAACTTTTGTTCATGAACAATCAAGGAGCTTTGAAGTTCATCCACAAAAAGACAATCAATGTCGTTTGATTCTTTGATGGAGCATACAATGTCGTTGAACTTCTTGGTGAGAGTTCGCGGAATCTTCTCCACGATCTTGACATCTTGCATGTCTTCTCCATAATTGCGTATATCATTTACCACCACCATAACTCTGGAGAAATAGTCCGTTACAGACTCTCCATTCTTCATCTCCAGAATCTCAAACTCTCTATGAAGAGCCTGAAGCTGAGTCTTCTAACCCTGGTATTCCCTTGTTACTTTGTTTTCATGGAGTACCATAATTGCTTGGATGTGCTCTTATGGGTGATTGTCTTCAAGATTGACTTGTCTAACGACTAGAAAAAATAATTTTTGGCCTTCAAGTCTTTTAGCTTGAGCTCCTCCAAGGTTTTGCTATGTGCATTGTGCTATCAAAATAAACAATATTAGTTTAACTAAAAAAAAATGAGTTATGAAAAATCAGGCCTGAACAGGGTGCAGTCGTGATACACTGCCCTAGAAGATAGAGGACCCGCCTGTCGCCCTGGCGTAGTTGATCCTCCCCCCTAGCGGTAAAAGCCCCCGGAAGGGGTAGTAGTTCACACTACATAATGATATATGAATATATATATGGGTCGATGCTCCACCCGAGTATCACTAGTCCAGCTTGTTTCTACCACATTGAACCGACATTGGGACAACGTCTCCAAATAAGGGTTGGGTTCCCACTGTCAGTGACCTCTTTAATGGACTTAACCCCATCTCCCTCGATGAATCCAGGACTACACTCCTGGATAATCCCTTAGTCAAAGGGTCAGCAATATTTTTCTCAGACTTTACAAAATCCAAGATCACAACTTTGCCTAACAGGCGTTGTACAGACTTATATCTTATTTGAATATGTCTGTTGAGTTTTTTATTTACATGTACTTGCTTTAGAAGCTCTATGGTAGATCTAGAATCAGAATGAATGGAAATTGGAGGAAAAGGTTTAGGGACCAAAGGAAGTTCAGAGATAAGATCTTTTAACCATTCGGCTTCTGAGCAAGTAGTATCAAGTGCAATCAATTCAGATTCCATGGTGCTCCTGGCAATTACTGTTTGCTTACATGATTTCCAGGATACAGCAGCACCACCAAAAAGAAATACATACCCAGATGTTGACTTTACACTGTTGGAATCTGTGACCCAATTGGCGTCACTATACCCTTCAATGGCATCAGGGTATCCAGTGTAAGTTAAGCAATAGTCAACTGTCCCTTTTAAGTATTTAAATACTCTTTCTAAGGCAGACCAATGATCTGGGTTAGGGTTACTGGTATACCGACTCAATCTCCCTACAGCATAAGCTATATCGGGTCTAGTCCGGTTTGATATGTATAAAAGGGATCCAATCATTTGGGAATATTTCAATTGAGAGACAGATTCACCTTCATTTTTCTTCAAGGGTATAGAAGAATCATATGGTGTGGAAACAGATTTAAAGTTATGAAAGTTGAATTTGATCAGCATTTTCTCAATACTGTGAGAAAGACTCAAGGATATTCCTCTAGTGTCTCTAGTGATTTTCATTCCAAGTATCATATCGGCAAGACCTAAGTCTTTCATGTCAAAATTTTTGGAGAGATAATCCTTAACTTTTAAGATTAGTTCAAGAGTAGTTCCAAAGATAAGGATATCATCAACATAGAGACATAGGATAACATAGTCATTGTTTATCACTTTTGAATAAACACATTTGTCGTGTTCATTCACCGTGAATCCATATTGTGCAATGACTTTGTTAAATTTCTGGTGCCATTGTTTAGGAGCTAGGAGTCAAAGGTTGAGTACCACTAGTAGAAGACTCAGGAAAGTCAATGGCTGATAAGAGACCTAAGGTAGTGAGCCAGTATCTCATCTGATTAGCCCACCGTTTATAGTTGATACCGGTGAACTTCTCAGGTTTGACACTTTTTGAATGATCAATTGCCATAAGTCCAATTTGAGTTTTACTAGTCTAGGTAGTTGAAATCTGAACAGGGTAAGAATTTTATTAATACTACTAGACCAGAAACTTAATTAAACCTGCTCTTAACCAAAAACTCTAAAAGTGAAAAGATTAAAGTTTTACTCGGGTAGTTTGGCCAGGTAAGGATAGTACTAGAGGTTGATCAATGATCGATTAAGTACCTCGTTTCTTGCAGAGCGCTTTACGCAACCCTTAAACCTTTCCTTAGACACCAACTAATCCAAGAAAACTTGAACCGGTTCACTTAAAGATTTTTTGTTTATGACAGATACTGAATTTGAGCACAGAAGCAGCAAAGAAAGATGCAAAAGGTTAACAAATTAAAACAGTTAAACAAATATGAAATTCGGGTGAACAGAAACAATATTTTTTTTTTAATATATATTTATTTTCAGATTTAAATTAACAGCAATAAATTATCTATCTTCTAGATTGCTATCAAAATAAACAATATTAGTTTAACTAAAAAAAAAAATGAGTTATGAAAAATCAGGCCTGAACGGGGTGCAGTCGTGATACACTGCCCTAGAAGATAGAGGACCCGCCTGTCGCCCTGGCGTAGTTGATCCTCCCCCCTAGCGGTAAAAGCCCCCCGGAAACGGCCGGCCTCTCTACTCGGGCGCGAGTAGCAGAGCTTCTGCTCAGATGAAGATGATTGCCCAAAAATAATCCTCAAAATATGTAGCCGAAAATCTTTGAGTACTAAGAGTAGCAGAAGGAGGAAGAGGGAGCTATGAAATTCTTTGTGAATTTCTGTGTGTTTTCCCGAATGAACTCTGCCTCCTTATATAGCCTCATGAACCAGTAACCGATGCTGAATCTCCTCGGGCGTGCGCGCGTGTGTGGAGAAAGAGCACAAACACTAGTAGGCCCAAAACATTACTCAAAGCCCATTAGGAAGTGAACCATTATAAACCACTTGAACTTCTCTTCAACTTCCAATGTGGGACTATTCACAATTGCCTTTTCCTTAAGAAAATGCTAACACATTGGTCAGCACGATTCCAGCAGCCAACTTTGTGTAACCAGGATCGATTACGCTCCGATATTTTTTTGATCTCAGTAGATTCTCCATCAGCATGCTTCAGGATCATAGTCCCCATCAAATCCGGGGATGCTCAGCAAGTTGTGTCCTTCAGTGGCCATCGTGATCTCACTCTTTCTCTCAGAGTGTTTCTCTCAAAACACCTTTTGTGTCTCTTGAATTGTTTCACTCAGACACTCTCTCTCGCAGGTGTTTCTCTCAACCACTCTTTTCTCTTGAAGTGTTTCACTCACTCTCTCTTTTTCACAATCGGGCTCGTTTGCAGGCTTTGATACCACAATGTTAAGAATCAAAGCTTTGAACAGAAAGAAACCCAACAAATGTGGGAATGAATCTCATCATCTTATTGAACAACTCAGGAATGAATCTCATCATCTTATTGAACAACTCAGGCTTCTTAAAAATCCTCTACATCATAACAGAAAATGAAAAGAACTAGTTCACCATAGCCACAATTGCTATGTGATTTCAGCAACTGAATAATTAAAAGATAAACTAAACATGGCCTAAGGAATATGACTTATTTCAACAGAAAGCTAAACTTTAGGGAAACTTTAGGAAACTCTAACAACCATTCTGAATTCTTCTCTTCAGACAATGATTAAGGTTACAGTGAATATCAATAACCCGCCTCTCTCTTTTTCTCCCTGGCTACCTTAGTAAGTTCCTGAATCATGCTAGTCAAATTGACATACGATGATCCTCCTTCCTCTACGACGGCCCTTGATATCTTCTTGTATTTCTCCGCCCTGCTCCTGATCTCCGCCGCCTCTCTTCCTTCGCCCATCACCCTATCCACGGCCCTCTTCACAGCCTCCGCCTTCACCACCTCCTTCTGCTCCGCGAATGTCGACCTCTTCACCCCTTGTTCAATTGCACTCACCCCCGTCCCCAACACCTGCATGTATTTGAAAGGAAATATATTTCACAACACAATCAACCTAATATATTCTATGTAAGTCGTGGTATTTCATGAAAACCACAAGTTTGTGTAAAGGGTAAACTTCCACAAAATCCCAATAAGCTTTTGAGTGTTTTTGCACAAAACTCCGGTAAACTTTCATAAGTACGGGGAAAAAATCCCTCTGAACTTTCAAAAATCTCCTAACTGATCTCTTGAACTATTGGAAATTGCATAAGCGGCATTAATCATATATATAGAGTAAAAAGCTGAGAAATGTGACCTAGCTACTGTGTCCTGTTCTCCCGCGTGATGTTTTTCGTTCAAAATTTTCAGCAAATTTTGATCTGTCATAGTTCAAACTTATTGCTCTTACATGCCATGGCATCCTTTATGAGATTTCCTAATAGAATCCTGGGATTTCTCGAAATTGTAAGGTATGGAGTGGTTTCATTCATAAACGATCAACGGATGATTGTGGTAACTATGACTAGTATGAATCATGCATGTGAAGAATGCACACGCTTACCTTCACAATGAGCCTCTCGCTAACGAACTGCTCTGAATGCAGCGGCCAGGCGATCATCGGCACCCCGCAGCTCAGCGCCTCCAGTGTCGAGTTCCATCCGCACTGCATCATGAACGCTCCCAACGCCGGATGGTTCAGTATCATCCTTTGCGGCGCCCATCCTCGAACTACCAACCCTCTCCCTTCCACCTTCTCTTCGAATCCCTTTGGCAACCAATCCCCGATCGTATCCAAACCCCCGCCTCCGCCCCTCACCACCCATATAAAGGCTCTTCCTGAACCCTCCAACGCGAGACTGATTTCTCGGAGCTGATCGTCGCCGAAGACGCATTCGCTACCGAACGCGATGTAGAGCACCGACCGATCTTTCTTATCGTCTAACCATGCTTTGAACCCCTTATCGTCATCACCGTTATCAGCTTCTTTCCAGTGCCTGAGAGAGACGGGCCCCACATTCCACACTCTACTCTTACCGTCCATTTTCAGCCTCTCAGCGTACTCAGGCGCGAGCTCGTCGAAGCTGTTAAAGAGTAAGCCGTAGCTCTTGTTTCTGGCTTCTCTGAACATGTCGAGAGCTATTTTGGGGTAATGGAACACTTTGGGCAGCTCGGCTTTCGTGATCTCGATCTCGTCGACGACGAATGGCTTATCATCGTTGCGGGAGTTAATCATCATTTGTTCGACTTGATCGAGGATGAAGACGGCGAAGTGCGAGAACACGTTGAAGACGACACGAGGGATGTTGAGAGAGATTGCGAGGTCGGAGGTCCACGGGTAGAGCTCGTCGGAGACGAGGCAGTCAGGGCGGTGGTCGACGATGAGCTGGCGAAGAGGCTGGTGTAGGAGCTGGATGAGGTTGTAGAACTTTTCGAGGGTGGCGTCCGTCATGGGGAGGGAGTTGGGGAGGAGACTGCGGGGAGGAGGGAGGGGAGGTTGCCGGCGGTGGTGATGTAGGAGACCTTGACGCCGCGAGAGGCGAAGAGGAGGGCGGTGTCGAGGTAGGCGATCATGTGGCCGAGTGCTAAGTATGGGAAGAAGAAGATGTGGAGGTCGTGATGGCCTTGAGTTGAATCCATTTTTCACAGAATGTGAAAATCCAGTGAAAACCTTGCAGGTGTTGTTTTGAGTGATTTGGCTAAGGAGCACAAGACTATTACCTAGTTATAGTGGTAGTTGTACTAGTTATATTGGTAGTTGTAGTTGGTAGAGAGGCACTAGGCGCATACTCTCTACCACACTCTCAACCACACCACCTCTCTTGCTACAGTGCACGAGGCCCACATGAGACTTTAAAAATTAAAATCTCATGTGGGCCCCGTGCACTGTAGCAAGAGATGTGGTGTGGTTCGGAGTGTGGTAGAGGGTGTGCCCCTATCATTGTTTTAGTTGGTAATATCTCTTCGGTCCCGATGAATAATATTGTTTATATAAAATATATAAAAAAAAACTTTTAATTATGGCAGATTGAAGCGGATCTCGATTGGTATTTAAATCTCTTGTTTTTATATTTTTTCCATTTTATGTTGAGCCATGGAAATGGATTTGTGTTGGGATTCGAAACAATCAAATTGAACCATTGCCCTTCCGGACATTGTGTTGAAAGTAAAAAAGTAGGAAAATTTACCACAAATAAAGATCAAAGTTTGCAGAAATAATAAAGGAGACGAACACACAGATTTAACGAGGTTCGGCAACGTGCCTACGTCCTCGGAAGCCACACCACACAATTCTTTTATTGGTTGAAGAAGAAATACAAGATCTCAAACTAGGATTTTATCTCTCTGAGATTCTCTCTTTTTTTGCTGTCAAAAACTCTCTTTTTTCGTGTACAATAAGCCCTAAAAACCGTTTAGGTATATATAGAGTCCTCAAAGAAACATAATCCAAAGCATTTTAGGAAACAGGCTGATTGCGTCGTGGTCGACCGTGGCCGTCGACCGAACCAAAACCCGAGAGCAGAAAACATTACAGGGTCGGCGTGGTTGACCGTCACGGTCGACCGCCTTCAGCTCCAGCCTCTTCTCAGCTTCTGTGCACGTTCGCGGTCGACTGCCGCGATTGACCATGCAGGCTTCCTCCTGTTTTTCTCGATTTTCTCCCTCATTTTGATTCCAGCTTCGGCTTCGACTTGGGGTCTACACTTTAGACTAACAATCTCCCACTTGGAGACCAAAATGCCATCAGCGAGTTCACCCAAACTCTCCCTTCTTCGCAAGTATCTTCTCCTCCTCGGAAAAATCGTTTCTTCAATCATCAAAATTCCGGTGATCTCACCAATCCTGGTAGTGTGACTCTGTCTTCGTCTTCTACTCGTGAAGGCTAACTGAAGTTGCGCACAACACTAGTTTCTCAATGGTGACTGCCTTTGTCAACATATCCGTCGGATTTTGACTCCCAAAATCTTCATTAAATGTAACTTTTCGTCTTCAACTAGCGAGCGTATAAACGTTGATGTGCTTCGTTCTGACATGATATACTAGATTCTTGGCAAGATGTATAGCGCTCTGGCTATCACAATAAAGAATTCCTCTCCCTTGCTTCAGAGCCAACTCTTCCAAGCACCCGTTCAACCGGATCATCTTATTGCTTGCTTCAGTCACCGTGACATACTCAGCCTCAGTTGTAGATAAAGTCACAATCTTTTGCAGACGTGAGACCCAGCTCACTGTTGTCGACGCTAAGGTATAAACATACCCCATGGTGCTTCGTCTAGTATCATGATCACTGGCGAAGTCCGCATCCACGTATCCCTGTAGCACAAACTCCTTCCTCCTGAAACATAGTGGTTTGTTCGTTGTTCCCCTCAAATACTGCATTATCCACTTCACGGCCTCCCAATGCTGCTTCCCTGGATTGCTAGCAAACCTGCTCATAACTCCCACTGCATGGGCGATGTCCGACCTCGTGCAAACCATCGTGTACATGACACTCCCAATGACCGAAGAATATGGCACCCTGCTCATATGCTCTCTATCTGCATCTGTCTTAGGCGATTGCTCCTCAGATAACTTGAACTGACTTCCAAGGGGTGTTCTAACAACTTTAGCATTCTGCATGTTGAACCTCTGAAGTACCTTCTCAATGTATTCAGCTTGGCTCAATCTCAATGTCCCTTCAGCTTCATCCCTACTGATTCGCATCCCTAGAATCTGCTTCGCTGCACCCAGATCCTTCATTGCAAATTCCTTTGCTAGCTGCCTCTTCAAACTGTTTATCTCTTCTAAACACGGTCCTGCTACCAACATGTCATCAACATATAATAACAAAATAATGAAGCTGGACTCGAACCTTTTGAAATAACAGCAATGATCCGAATTGCATCTTCTGTAGCCATTGTTCTGCATGAAGTTATCAAACTTCTTATACCACTGTCTCGGAGCCTGTTTCAAACCATATAAGCTCTTCTTGAGCTTGCACACCATCTCTTCCTTTCCTTCTTCAATGAAGCCAACAGGCTGCTTCATGTAGATTTCTTCATCCAAGTCACCATGAAGAAAGGCAGTCTTCACATCTAACTGCTCAAGGAAGAGGTCTTCTGCAGCTACCAAACTCAACACCACTCTGATGGTTGTGAGTTTCACAACAGGGGAAAATATCTCCGTGTAGTCCACTCCTTCCCGCTGTTGAAACCCTTTCACTACTAATCTGGCCTTGAATCTCTTGCTTCCATCACTCTCCTGCTTGACCCGGTAGACCCATTTATTGTGCAAGGCTTTCTTCTGTGCAGGTAGCTGGGCTAACTCCCATGTCTCATTAGTGAGTAGAGAATCCATCTCCTCCTGCATCGCATGCTCCCACTGCTGAGATTCACTCACTTGCACTGCCTCTTCATAACACTCCGGCTCTCCGCTATCTGTTAAGAGTAGATAATCAAGTGACGAGAGGTATTTGGGATTTGGTTTGGGTACCCTAGATGACCTCCTAGGCTCCACGCCCTGGGTAGTAGCTTCTGCACCTGTAGTCTCCTCCGTTCTACGGTCAGAACTGACATCGTCGCCCCCATCTGGAAGTTCCTCCAAATCCATGTACTCGGATCCACCTGTATCCGTAGTGCTGCTCCCACTGCTTTGGCTATCCTTGGCATTGTCCCTGTCCTTGTACATCACCTCCTCATTGAATATCACATCCCGGCTCCTGATGATCTTCCTGTTCTTCTCATCCCAAAGGCGATACCCGAACTCATCAATGCCGTATCCAATGAATGTGCACTTCTGTGACTTAGCTTCTAGCTTGTCCCTGACATGGTCACTGATATGAACATAAGCCACGCAACCAAATACCCGCAAGTGTGAGAGATTTATCTTCTTTCCACTCCAAACCTCCTCTGGAATCCCAAAATCTAATGGAACTGATGGCCCGTGATTAATAAGGTATGCTGCCGTATGCACCGCATCCGCCCAAAATGTCTTAGGCAGACCTGCATGTAATCGCATGCTCCGCGCACGCTCTGTCAAGGTCCTGTTCATCC